GTTTATTTCACTAGATTATTCTTCTTGAATAATATTTCGTACGCTAATCTCTCCGAATACTGCTAACACTTCTACTATTGTAGTGAACGAGAACACAGGTGGGGCAACCGAATTGTATTTAACGAAAGTTACAGAGTTACTCAATAAAATAGGAAAACCATGTCGTAAATTGTTCATTTGTAAAAGATCAGTTCATCCTATCGAACTGGACTGTTCCTGTTGCCAAACATCAATCCATTGTCACTATTCATGCGTTTCATACAAATTCCATTGTGTTCTTCTAACTCTTCCTTTCTTGATCTTCCACCATCTGCTGCCAGACATTATGTTGACACTCACGTCATATACTACTTATAAGTAGCTCACACCACACTGACAACATAAAGGAACAAACGTTTCAAATATCAAAGATTAATTAAGAGCCAATTTGTGATGGTCACGATTAGGTTTGAATCAAAATATTAATATAATTTCGTGTTCAGCACTTTTCTATATGAATTTAAATTTGTTTAAATCTTAAGTCAAGTATGTCAATTCAAAAATCAGTATTACGTAATACAATTTTTTAAAAAATGATGTGCAGTTTCAATACACTCATGAAAAAACTGTAAACATGTGTATTTGATCTGATTACGAACAGTTTATTCCCTTTCTGATAAAAAAATAAACTTATTTAGTTGAAATCATCAATTGATCAATGTTAGATCACCTTTAGAAACTTGGAATCACTGGAGCGCTGTTTCGTCCTAGTAGGAGACTCATCAATTATGCCACTCCTTGACGTCCATGAGCTAGAATCAAACCCAGTACATTTGATATCGTTCGCCAACGCCTAACCTCTAGACCCACTGAATAGGTATCTAACGATGTTAGCGTCTAAGTTTAATCAATCCAAGATATTTCATGACCTCATCCGATGTCTTCAGGTCGGTAACTGCTTCATATCCGACGCAGCTGAACTCCATTAGTCACGAATTCTCAAAAGAACTGTGAGAATTTCCTCATAAAGCTAATCACTAGTAAGCACATGATAATTGTCATTTTAGGGCTGTGATGAATTTTGAGGAGGAAAGATTTCGATTAGTTTATAATTTAAAAGTTGAATAAAGTATTTTTATTTGAATGACAGTGTACTCAACTGTTACGCTTGTATATAATTGATAAATGATAGTGTTTTAGTTAATTTCAATTCTATTTCCATATTCAATACACTTAATTTGTTTTAAATGATTACTTTTTACACGGGCTAACATTTCAAATTCTCTAGTCTGGTTCTATTATTTATGACAAATAGAATTTATTTAGGACCCTGTCTCCAGCCTTTAGGGAACAAATTAACTAATCCATTCTCCTCGAGTTATTACTCATATGTCTTTCGACCTTGTCAATTGTTTGCTTATGACCTCGGTTGTTTTCATTCGAGTGTATGTGTGTGATGCATTGATTACTTTGCTTATCCACATGTCTTGAGTATATTTTTATCTGACTTTAAATATTTAGTCAAGACCTCAACACATAGAGTTAGCTGGCTCGTCTTCTCCGTTAAGCTTCACATTCTATTGTTTGCTTACAAAGGAATGTATGAAATGTCCGGCTGACTAAACCATATTAGGTAGTTTTCTTATGTTGTCACTGACATGAACTACTATTCACCAACAGATCGAATCGACAAGTTAGCCTACTAGCAATGTAAAAAGATGCAGTCCTAGTGTGCTGCGCGCTACTTATAAGTAGTATATGACGTGAGTGCAAATGTAATGTCTGGCAGTAGAAGATGGGGGAAGATCAACAAGAAAGGAAGAGTGGGGGGAACACAATGGAATTTGTATGAAACGCATGAATAGTG